GCTCAAATCGTGCCAACCACATGGAACGAAATGGAGCCACTAGTTGTGGATGTGGGAAATAGTCTAATGAAGAGGACTAGCAAAAAAAAAGAGGCATCCAATGCAGTGGACCAGTCAAGGTGGTGCGTTGGGCAGTCGGGGCAGTGTGCGCGCCTATAATGGGCGTACCGGGCAGAGTTCGGGCGCTCAAATCGTGCCAACCACATGGAACGAAATGGAGCCACTAGTTGTGGATGTGGGAAATAGTCTAATGAAGAGGACTAGCAAAAAAAAAGAGGCATCCAATGCAGTGGACCAGTCAAGGTGGTGCGTTGGGCAGTCGGGGCAGTGTGCGCGCCTATAATGGGCGTACCGGGCAGAGTTCGGGCGCTCAAATCGTGCCAACCACATGGAACGAAATGGAGCCACTAGTTGTGGATGTGGGAAATAGTCTAATGAAGAGGACTAGCAAAAAAAAAGAGGCATCCAATGCAGTGGACCAGTCAAGGTGGTGCGTTGGGCAGTCGGGGCAGTGTGCGCGCCTATAATGGGCGTACCGGGCAGAGTTCGGGCGCTCAAATCGTGCCAACCACATGGAACGAAATGGAGCCACTAGTTGTGGATGTGGGAAATAGTCTAATGAAGAGGACTAGCAAAAAAAAAGAGGCATCCAATGCAGTGGACCAGTCAAGGTGGTGCGTTGGGCAGTCGGGGCAGTGTGCGCGCCTATAATGGGCGTACCGGGCAGAGTTCGGGCGCTCAAATCGTGCCAACCACATGGAACGAAATGGAGCCACTAGTTGTGGATGTGGGAAATAGTCTAATGAAGAGGACTAGCAAAAAAAAAGAGGCATCCAATGCAGTGGACCAGTCAAGGTGGTGCGTTGGGCAGTCGGGGCAGTGTGCGCGCCTATAATGGGCGTACCGGGCAGAGTTCGGGCGCTCAAATCGTGCCAACCACATGGAACGAAATGGAGCCACTAGTTGCGGATGTGGGAAATAATCTAATGAAGAGGACCAGCAAAAAAAAAGAGGCATCCAATGCAGTGGACCAGTCAAGGTGGTGCGTTGGGCAGTCGGGGCAGTGTGCGCGCCTATAATGGGCGTACCGGGCACTTTAGACTGGTTTAGGGTTTAGGGTTTAGGGCTCGTGCTTGGAGGACGGAGTGAGGTGGTCCTCACTGGGCACTCAAACGCCAGCTCCAGCACCTCCAGCAGCTCCAGAACCTCCAGCTCCAGCACCTCCAGCAGCTCTAGGAACTCCAGCTCCAACGCTTACAGCTACAGAGTCCGCAGCACCACCAGCTCCGACAGCTCCAACACCCGAAGTGCGAGCACCTCCGGGACCAGCGGCGCTCGTACCACCAGCACCTCCAGCACCAGCAGCACCACCAGCTCCAGCCGCTGCAGTCCCTCCCGAATCCGCAGCTCCAGCTCCTCCGGTACCACCAGCTCCAGGGCCTCCAGCACCAGCAGCACCGCCACCGCCCCCAGCTCCAGCACGTCCAGGACGAGCGCTTCCGGGATCAATAGTGCTAGGCCGAGAGCGGGTGCGCGTAGCGTACCACTCACGCAGATGCTGCGGCGAGAGAGGCTCCCGCTGAGTAGACGAAGTGCCCAGAGTGTGCGCACCTATAATGAGCGCACCAGGCAGAGTTCAGGCGCTCAAATCATGCCAACCACATAAAACGAAATGGAGCCACTTGTTGTGGATGTGAAAAATAGTATAATAAAGAGGAATAGCAAAACAAAAGAGGCATCCAATGCAGTGGACCAATCAAAGTGGTGCGTTGGGCATTCGGGGTAGCGTGCGCACCTATAATGGGCGCACCGGGCAGAGTTCGGGCGCTCAAATCATGCCAACCACATGGAACGAAATGGAGCCACTTGTTGTGGATGTGAAAAATAGTCTAATGAAAAGTACTTGCAAAAAAAAAAAAGAGGCATCCAATGCAGTGGACCAATCAAAGTGGTGCGTTGGGCAGTCGGGGCAGTGTGCGCACCTATAATGGGCGTACCGGGCAGAGTTCGGGCGCTCAAATCATGCCAACCACATGGAACGAAATGGAGCCACTTGTTGTGGATGTGGGAAATAGTCTAATGAAGAGGAATAGCAAAAAAAAGAGGCATCCAATGCAGTGGACCAATCAAAGTGGTGCGTTGGGCAGTCGGGGCAGTGTGCGCACCTATAATGGGCGTACCGGGCAGAGTTCGGGCGCTCAAATCATGCCAACCACATGGAACGAAATGGATCCACTTGTTGTGGATGTGGGAAATAGTCTAATGAAGAGGACTAGCAAAAAAAAAAAAAGGCATCCAATGCAGTGGACCTGTCAAAGTGCTGCGTTGGGCAGTCGGGGCAGTGTGCGCACCTATAATGGGCGTACCGGGCAGAGTTCGGGCGCTCAAATCATGCCAACCACATGGAACGAAATGGAGCCACTTGTTGTGGATGTGGGAAATAGTCTAATGAAGAGGATAGAAAAAAAAAAGAGGCATCCAATGCAGTGGACCAGTCAAAGTGGTGCGTTGGGCAGTCGGGGCAGAGTGCGCACCTATAATGGGCGTACCGGGCAGAGTTCGGGCGCTCAAATCATGCCAACCACATGGAACGAAATGGAGCCACTAGTTGCGGCTGTGGGAAATAGGGGTTTAGGGTTTAGGGTTTAGGGTTTAGGGTTTAGGGTTTACGGTTTACGGTTTAGGGTTTAGGGTTTAGGGTTTAGGGTTTAGGGTTTAGGGTTTAGGGTTTAGGGTTTAGGGTTTAGGGTTTAGGGTTTAGGGTTTAGGGTTTAGGGTTTAGGGTTTAGGGTTTAGGGTTCGTTTAGCGTTTAGGGTTTAGGGTTTAGGGTTTAGGGTTTAGGGTTTAGGGTTTAGGGTTTAGGGTTTAGGGTTTAGGGTTTAGGGTTTAGGGTTTAGGGTTTAGGGTTTAGGGTTTAGGGTTTAGGGTTTAGGGTTTAGGGTTTAGGGTTTAGGGTTTAGGGTTTAGGGTTTAGGGTTTAGGGTTTAGGGTTTAGGGTTTAGGGTTTAGGGTTTAGGGTTTAGGGTTTAGGGTTTAGGGTTTAGGGTTTAGGGTTTAGGGTTTAGGGTTTAGGGTTTAGGGTTTAGGGTTTAGGGTTTAGGGTTTAGGGTTTAGGGTTTAGGGTTTAGGGTTTAGGGTTTAGGGTTTAGGGTTTAGGGTTTAGGGTTTAGGGTTTAGGGTTTAGGGTTTAGGGTTTAGGGTTTAGGGTTTAGGGTTTAGGGTTTAGGGTTTAGGGTTTAGGGTTTAGGGTTTAGGGTTTAGGGTTTAGGGTTTAGGGTTTAGGGTTTAGGGTTTAGGGTTTAGGGTTTAGGGTTTAGGGTTTAGGGTTTAGGGTTTAGGGTTTAGGGTTTAGGGTTTAGGGTTTAGGGTTTAGGGTTTAGGGTTTAGGGTTTAGGGTTTAGGGTTTAGGGTTTAGGGTTTAGGGTTTAGGGTTTAGGGTTTAGGGTTTAGGGTTTAGGGTTTAGGGTTTAGGGTTTAGGGTTTAGGGTTTAGGGTTTAGGGTTTAGGGTTTAGGGTTTAGGGTTTAGGGTTTAGGGGTTTATTTTAAAATTAAAAAACCTAGCTGCAGCAACTAGCTTAGCCGCGCCAGAGCTGGCGCGGCTCGGGTTTCCTAAGTGGCGCGAAGTGCGGAGCGTGAGGAGGAGGTGGTGTCGAGGGGTGTTAGAGGGAGGGTGGGGTTGGATCGGGGTGTACAAAAAAGACCCCCGAAGCGCGCGCGATGAAATGCGCGCTTCGGGTGGTCAAAATCGAGAAATTGGGGGGGGGGGGGGGGGGGGAGGGTAAAAAAAACTAAGTTTGACTTGGCGAGAAAAAAAAATTCTCGCCAAGGAACAACTCGCCAGGAGAAGATGCGACTGCGGTTCAGTGCGGTAACGCGACCGTGGCCGCGATTTGCTCCGTGAGATACGCAATTAAAAGCCTATTTTAACCTTTCTTCCCGTTTTTAAGCTAAGAAAACGCTCTAGGGCTGTTAAAAAAAAACGAGGCAAATGCATTTCGGCCAGGTAGTGGCCATCCTCAGTGCTAACAAACCCTAGAGTGGCGAAATCAAACCTAAAAGGGGAAGAGAGGCTTGAGAGAGAAGGCCCCATCCCCTGTAGTAGCACCCCAAAGAAAATGTACAGCACCTACAGCTAACCTAAACATTTATAAAAATGATATAATCATCTACATAAATATTTAGGCAGTTGGTCGATGCTGTCGGGAAATATAAAAATATTTCCTTTGTTCTTGTGTCGTGCTCTTGGGGAGTTGGGTCCTGCGGGGAAATAAAACGCACGCGACGAGTGGGGCGAGCGACGAGAAAGACACTAGGCAGGGAAAAATAGGGGGTAGTCGCAGGGTGAATATAGTTATGCGTGGCTCGTATTTTTCATGAATGCAAACCCACCCAGGCAACAGGCATACCGTCGGTGGGCTGTCGTGACAGTGCTGTTCTTTACTATCTCTGTGTGTGCACCCAAGCGTGCCCGCTGTGCAACGTGATGTGATGACGAGTGTGCAACGGCCCAAATGTAATGTAGATGAGGCGATATGCTGCCATTAGCGTGGTGATGGTGTTGTGATGTGTATAAGGGGCGTATAGCGGGAATGAGGGGGGATGTTGCATTGTGTATACTTGGTGCAGCAGTGAGTAGCGGGGAGAAGGCGGGCTTAGGGACAGGGGGGCAGAGGGAGGGACAGTGTGAGAAACGTGTGAGAGACCGTTGTTGGTTCTCGGCCTGAGCTGCGGGGGCAGGCGGGAGGGGCGGGATGCATGAATAGAGATATTATTTTGAGGAGAAAGTGTGAATAGCATGACGTCGGGGGGTGGGGATGCTAGGTGTTGAGAAGCGGGGGGGTTCGGGGGGGGCGCAGCCCCCCCCGATTGTTTTGAAAACAATGCGAGAAGATAGCGGGGAAGGGACGGCAACGATCTGGGGCAAGCACGGTAACAAAGTATAACAGACTCTGCCGACTTCGCTCACGTGGCGCTACCATGGCGTCGGGGGGTGGGATGTCAGGTGTTGAGAAGCGGGGGGGGGGGGGGGGGGGGGGGGGGGGGGGGGGGGGGGGGGGGGGGGGGGGGTTTGGGGGGGGCGCAGCCCCAGCAACGAAATGTGACAAGCAAGGCACCAAAGTACAACAGACTCTGCCGACGCCGCTCACGTGGCGCTACACTCCGAGGTATCTCGAGCGTCAACACTCGTGAACGCAGCTCGGACTAGCATGCTCCTTAGCTTAGGTGCTGCACGAAAGCTGAGGAAGGGCTGTTTCGGGCACAGGGTCTCTAGTGCTGCCTTACTCATCTCCGAGCGGAGTAGAGACCTCACCTTTGGGTGTTCGAGATTAGGGTGGTATTCGAGCACAAAAGGCAGCACTCTGCCGTCTCGTTGCTTACCCTTCTCTGATCGTTGCAGGAGTGTATCGCGGTCGCTGTACTGTACCTCATCAAAGATCTGCTGGATGAATTTCGAGTGGTAACCGCGCGCTCGCAGACGCGCTGCGAAGGATGATTTCATCATTTGGAAGCCTACCTCGGATGACTCCCGTAGGAGGTATCGGTATAGCTCACCAATGATGAATCCTCGTTTGCAGTGTCGCGGGTGCGCCGATCGGAAAGGGAAGTACTGATAGACGTTCATCGGTTTCTGGTACACCGAGGTGTCTAGAAAACCGCCTCTCGCATCTTCCCCTCTCGTCGACTCCCACTGCTTACCCTTGGTGAAGGTGATGTCAAGTAGCGTGAACGATGTGGCGCTGATTTCTGTAGTGATGCGGATGCCGTCCATGAGGCTGTTGTAACCTTCTATCCATTGGTGTAGTTCTGCTAGCGATCCGGTCCAGACTACCAGTCCGTCGTCGATTATAGCGCCTGTGTAGTAGCACATGCCTCGACAAGGACGGGTACTGCTCTTCCATGCGAGCGTCTAGCCAGCTCATGAAAAGAACTGCATAGATCACTGCTACTGGAGTACCCATGGCTGTACCGCGGATCTGTCGGTAGAACTTCCCATCGAACTGAAGGTGATTCTGTGTCATGACTAGCTCTAGCAGCTCACAACACGCGCTGAGCTGCTTGGCGGTGCCTGTCTCTGGCCAAACTGGATAGCTATGCATGCGTACGAATTTATCTTTCGTTTCCCGGATGGCAGCTAGGCCTTGCTGGAGTGGGATTGATGGGTAGAGGCTCTCAACATCGTATGTGAGGAAAATGGCATGCTCGGGTATTGGAAGGGCACGCAGTGTGTGCAGCAGAGTGATTGAGTCTGGCAGGTGGGCTGGTGCCAAAGCCAGCAGCGGACGCAGATAGTGGTCTAGCACCTGGCTGGCATGCTCAAAGATCCAAAGGGTAGAGGAACAGATCGGTCTCCCTTTGACAGGGTCTTTGTGTAATTTAGGCAGCAGATAGAATCTGCAGACTCGAAATTGTGTAGGGTGTATCTCGGTGTCATGCTCGCAGCCCGCTTCTGTGCGAAGTTCAACTCTCGGCTGTAAGATGTACTCGATGGTTTCCTTGGGAAACCTATCTTTGTACCTTGAGCACCAAGTGTTGAGGTCCTCGCACAGGTTGTCCATGGGTACCGTTGCGACTTCCTTGTACGTTTTATTGTCGGATAGTTGTCTGAGCACCTCGTCTCGATACCACGATGCATCTAACAGGGCGAGACCTAGGTTCTTATCCGCTGGCTTAACCACTACCTTTGGATTCTTCCCCAACTTTTTTAAACACCGCAACGTTTGCTCGTTCATGTTCCTGCGAGCGCGGCGCGTCATCAGTGGGAGGCGGTCGATCACCTTCCTCTCCACCTCAGCGATGTATCGCTCTATAGCAGGGGGAGCAGGGTCGGGCATCCAAAATGGGTTGCGAATACGGAAGCGTGGAGCTGGCTTGTCGGATGAGAACTGTGCGGTGAGCCTCACAGTTCTCGTGAACCTCGAGAGTGCGCTCAAGATAATTTGCTTTGTGGGGGGTGAAGGGGTCGGTATGAATGAGAGCCCTAGGCTCAATCCTTCAAGTTCTGTGCGTGAGAGGGCTAGTGCGGATCTGTTGTGGATGAATTTAGAATTGAGATCATCCTGCAGTATGACCTGAGGTGTTCGAAGGAGACGTTTTTGGGCGGGGGTCAGTGGTTTCGACGTTTGTTTGTTTCTGGGTCTTGAGCGGGGTCGTTTACAGGCGTTTAGAGGGGCGCTCACCTCAGGGCTGGGGCTGCTCCCACCCGCTGTAGACTGCGGTGTGGTGTAGGGTTTAGGGTTTAGGGTTTAGGGTTTAGGGTTTAGGGTTTAGGGTTTAGGGTTTAGGGTTTAGGGTTTAGGGTTTAGGGTTTAGGGTTTAGGGTTTAGGGTTTAGGGTTTAGGGTTTAGGGTTTAGGGTTTAGGGTTTAGGGTTTAGGGTTTAGGGTTTAGGGTTTAGGGTTAGGGTTTAGGGTTTAGGGTTAGGGTTTAGGGTTAGGGTTTAGGGTTTTAGGGTTTAGGGTTTAGGTTTTAGGGGTTTAGGGTTTAGGGTTTAGGGTTTAGGGTTTAGGGTTTAGGGTTTAGGGTTTAGGGTTTTAGGGTTTAGGGTTTAGGGTTTAGGGTTTAGGGTTTAGGGTTTAGGGTTTAGGGTTTAGGGTTTAGGGTTTAGGGTTAGGGTTTAGGGTTTAGGGTTTCGGGTTTAGGGTTTAGGGTTTAGGGTTTAGGGGTTTAGGGTTTAGGGTTTAGGGTTTAGGGTTTAGGGTTTAGGGTTTAGGGTTTAGGGTTTAGGGTTTAGGGTTTTAGGGTTTAGGGTTAGGTTT